GCCCTGCTCTGAGCCCGACCAGGGGCTGCACCTAGGGATTGGGTCTGCCTCTGCCACCCAGGAGCAGGCCTAAGCCAGCAGGGCATTATCTCCCAAGGGGTCCCAGACTACGAGAGGGCACAGGACAGGCTGAGGGCCCCCCCCCCAGTGCACAAATTTTTGTGCACCGGGCCTCTAGTTTTAATATATTTTCATAGGCTTGAAAATACCTCAGTCCCCTTCTAAATACATATCTCTTCCATGGATGCCAGACTGTTCTAATTGAAATTTTGGAGCCATGGTACAGATGGTGGGGTCTCTGCAGAAGAGAATGGACATTTCCCACCTTCCTGCTAAATGAATGGCAGCACCATCCATCCAGTTGAGTAAGCTCATACCTAAAAGCTATCCTTACAACACTCCTTCAATCCCCATATCCAATCTGTGAATAAGCCCTTTTTTGCCTCTCAAGCATCTCTCATTTCTCTGGCTTTCACCAAAGTCTAAACTGTCATCTTTGCCTGAACTACTGCAATGACCTCCTGACTTTTGCCCATCTCTCTACAATCCATAGTGATTTCCTCAATATTAAGGAAAAAGCATTCAGTCTTGCACCATTCTGATGATAGCTGTAAGGTTTTTTAGATGCCTTTTATTAGATTAAGACATTTCTCTTCTGTTTCAGGATGGCTGAGAACCTTGATCACAAATGAGTGTTGAATCTTGTCAAATGTTCTCAATACATCAATTACAGGAACCCTGCCTGTTACCTAACTGTGGGAGGGAACTGGCTGAATGGTAGGTAGCGTTAGAAGGACAGGGGAAGTTGGTATTGTCTTAAATAACTCGATACATTATGGCCTTGAAGGGGGTCAAGTAGAGGCCGCCTGGCAGTCCCTATTGTCTCTGATTCAAAAGCAGTTGTGTACATAGCACATCCTTTGAAGCTACTGATTCTGTCTCAGTCTGTGGTTGACAACTGGGACGCATTCTCCCACTCTCAGAGCACCTCATCTTGAGATGTCCCTGGGAAGTCTCAATTGGCATCCACTCCCTCTCCTTCGACAAATAGCAATCGTGACATCTCCAACATGAAATTGGGGTGCAGATTACTTACTATTCACTGGCAGACCTTGTAAATTAGCTATTTTAGTTTCAGGTGCCAAACCCAATCCAAATCTATTTAACAAAGGACAATTAGTTAAACTTGACTTTCTCATTAGAAATCTATAGTTTCCCTAACCTTTCCTTCAGGCCCTGGATTCCATGTGATGAATGTCACCTTATAATTAGTCATATCAGTCATATCACTTAAAATGATTTCTTATACTACTTAAAATGATTTTGCAGAATGACAAGTTTGAAGGACAAAACACTGGTCATTTAATCATTAAAAGATATTGTGAAATAACAAAAAGCAGTTAAACGTGTTTAATAATTCACTTCTATCATATCAGCTTTGAACCATTTTCAAATCTTCTTCTCTCTTGGCCATCCTCCTATATGAATGGTGCTCAAAGTTCAGAATGTATTATATCTCCTGGCAAACAGTTTACGAGCAGATTCCTGGACCCTGCCCTTGCATTCTGATTTGGCAAACGTCTCTCATTTCTCTGGCTTTTCTGGAGGCGCTCCAAGGGATTCTGCATCAGATCCGTGAACACCTTTGGAGAGGCTCTGACTCCTGGTATTGCACCTGCCTCTTCCAGTAATAAGACAGTCCCTGCCTCTGCTGTCCGAGTGCACAGAAAATTCCCAGGCAGAGGTGGGATTGAGCTGAGCATCCAGGAGAAGCTCAAGGGCAGGCATGTCATGGGTTAGACACCATCGGAGTCTACCCTCTGCAATTTAACTTAATAAAGACTCTACAGCCCCGGGAATGAGGTGCAAGGTCACCATCAGTGACAGGGGTGAGCATCCTTGAAACTAAGCTAAGGATAAGACTCTTTCGTTCGCCTTTACAAAGTGTTTAAATATTTAACTGCCTTGCTGTCCTTCCTGAACCACTGTTCAAAGTCTCTTCTTTGTTCACTATACAAACAACTCCTTATATTTTGTAGTGGGATAAGAGAATCATGGAATTCCAGGACCAGAAGAAATCATTGAGACTGCCTCATTCAACCGAAATATTCACCAACAGGGGGATGAATAAACAATTTGTGGTATATTATATAATGGAAAAAACTTAGCAATAAGAAGGGAAAATCCACTGATACATGCAACAACATGGGTGAATCTCAAAACATTATGATAAATAAAAGAAGCCCAACACATTCTACTTACTATATGAAATTCTAGAAAAATGCAAACTGTTCTATAGTAGCAGAAAGCTAATCAGTGCCTGCCAAGGGGTGGGAAGAAGGGGAGATTAACTGAACAGGATATAAGGAAACTTTGGGGGGTTGTGGAAATATTCTGTACCTGGACTGAGGTGGGGCTTGCATGGCTGCATACATATTTCAAAATCCATCAACAGTATATTTAAAATTAAAGCATTTTGTTATCTATAAATTGTGCTGTGAATTTTATGTTTTAAACATTCAACTAGCTGCCCATTGTCACCTAGGGGGCAGGGGTGTAAAGGCAGCACTGCTTTACTGAGGACCTTCAAGGAAGACACGTACTAGGCTCCCAGGCCTCATGTGGTCTCTTACTGCCAGAGAGGACTCACCCCACATTAACCCCCAAATAAGGCTTGGACCAGAGGCAGGCGTGAAGTCAGGTCTGTGCTCGCCCCACCCTGGAATCCC